CCACAACTATCCTTTTCAAGAATCTAGACTTGCCATTTCTAATTAGATGCTGTATGGCAGAATTGATTCTGTAATCTACATTTGCATTAAAAACTGACTCCTAGAATTGCTCAGATAGCTTATAATGTTCACGGTTTGTATCGTGTCATTTTACTGAGTTTGCAGATGTGAAAATTTTGTGCATCTGCAGATGAAGACTTTTAGAGCACAGAAGCCTTTATAATTGCAGGCTTAGAAATTTTTCAACAGTTTCTGCCTGTAAGGAGATTACATGTTCTCAGATGGCTATAAAATGCTGGATAAAAAGTCTAGATGATGGGACAATAATAGCATGAAATTGATTGGGGTTTAAACAGTCACCATTCCCACAAGAAGCAACACACTGATCTTGTGCTGTGTTGGAACAGAGGGGTCGAATGAATTCCATTGCTGTCAGTATAATTTGCCTTAGGTGTTGTTAAGGTCTGAATGGAGTAACTGCATTGCTCTACTTGTGCTCTTATTTTCTATATTTTATTATTTTCTCAGTAGGCTAAATTTTATTTTAATGTTTTATCTTAAATAGTACTTTGTCAAGGAAATACTTGGAATGTCAAAACCAAAGATGTCTCTTTATAAATATAGCTTTAATTGTTGTTGTGAAGTGCTGGAGAATTCCATAGCTCCTGGATAGAGAGTGATTGCTGTGACTGGCATTAAGTAATCATCTTACAATATTACCTTGTGTCATCAAAAAAGCAGTTCATAGGATGGAATAAAAATCAAACCTAAGCATGAACAGATAGGTAAGATTATGTATTAAGAGTACATAATATATAAGTGAAAACTTTACAGGCTTTACGTTGTAAGTTGCCTAGTTAAGCTTTCTAAATTAATGTTGCTACTAAAAAAAAAAGTTATGGCTCTGTTGAGTTACTTTGTTGTTGCTGCATATACTCTCTTCTCTAGTAAAATATACTTATAAAAATGAGAACCGTATCTTTATTAACTTATCTCCATTTGTCTACTGAACTGACTATAATGTAGGTATTTCCAGTAGTGCTGCAGAATTAATGATACCATGCATAGAGTGCTTTTGTGATCACTAGAGCATCCCCCCAAAGGTTCAAACTACAATACCAGCCTAATTTGGTAGCTGGGACTTAAAATTCTGAAATGTACAAAGACTTAGGACTGTTTGATTATTCGTCTAAAGCTTAGCTTGGAGGAGGAGACAGTTCAAACTCCAGACCTGACAGAAAGAGGCAAGGAGAGCAGCAGAGCATCACTCTTCCTCCTAGAACATCAGCTAAAATAAGAAACATCAATGCTTACTGGCCTTAGTCTGGCCCTTAGTTGAATATTGGCAAGTGTATCTTCTTCACAACATGGATTGAGAACTTGAGTATTTGTCTCAGTCTTTCTTGTTAAGTATTTAATTAGGCATGTGCTTCACATATTTTTGTTCTTTATTCTCAGATCTATCTCAAATTGACTTGCCTCAAAGGGATGAGGGAGGATAAAAAGGGAATCTTGGGAGATCAGTAAACTGTTCCCATACCTCAAGATCAGATGTGTGTGAGGGTTGAGGGTGGGAGAAAAGGGATCCTATTCTTCACTCTGGTTCTGTCACATAGTACTGCATACTGTTTAGTCAGTGTAACCAGCAGTGTACTCCAGTGTCTCCTTGGATAAGGTGTAGCAGGCCAGAAAGGGGACTAGATAAAAACCCTAAATATCACCTGTTCTTGCTGCTGCTGGTGGTGGAAGAACTAGGGCAGACAGTAACACCCAAGCCTGAAGTGCAACCCCTACCCAGCACTGGTTGTTCTTGCCTCTGTTCTGATTCTTCCTCAGTTGCAGCCCCTAAATGTCCCAGATGCGGGCATAGGCAAAGGTGGCAGTTTTTCTAATATTTTCCAGGGCTGTTTTGCACTCCTGTGAAACCTATAGATAGTTACAGGTACTGTGACAGCACTGCTGTAGAAATACAGTACCTCTGTGCTGCGTTTCAAGCACAGTTTGAAAAGTACCAAGGTAGTAAGAAGGTTATGTGACTGTGGTTTGTGATGTGATGCCATTTGTTAGCAGCTATCTCCATTCTGGCTAAAAAGGAAACAGTTTCACAAGGTTCAAGTTTGTCCCTAACAAAGAGCACTATAAAGTGGGTAAGTGATATCAGAGCATAATACTGGCATCATCATATGGTTGCCAGACCACACTGTTGTCTGATGCACTGCCCATTGCTGCCACTTTTTCAGTGCCCAAAGCTGGCTTTAATATTCAGCATCACTCATTAATCTTCTTCTGATGTGCCTATATGTTTTATATTGACGTTTTAACTAAATTTTGGTTGCAGGTTACCTAGTGGGAGGTGAAGCAGGCATTTTTTTTTTTAAGTCAAAATGAGGTGCTGAATTATACTTCTAAGTAATTTTTTAGCATTTTGTGTCCAGAAGGTTATTTCTTGTTGTCACTTACAGGTCTTCTCACAGTGAAAAATTAATGTACCTGTAATATTACCAATAATTTGTGCTGTAAAGACATGCCCAGCTGTCTCTGCATGCTTTCATTTGTGGCAAAAGAATCAATTGTTTTTTGAAAGAAGGGTTAATAGATTTGTATCTGTCTAAAAGTACCTTAGGAAAGAAGATTAAATTCTTACCTTCGAAGTGGTAGAATTAAAGACCTGTTATGTTGCATTTCAATTCTGAATTATTCTTATTAAAGACTTAATAGGATGCTGCCAAAGCACAGAACAGTTGTTCACATCCTTCTGAAGTCAGTTATGAAGCTTTACTGGTTCAAAACATGAGGAGAAAGCCAAGAACACATACTGGCAATTTCATTTGTTTAACTAATCTTTTAATGCTCTAAAAGTAAACATTAGTCATACTTTTGTAGCCTCTGAGTTTGAGTCATGATCTAAAAATTTGAAAGTAATCCATGTTAGTAAACATCTTTCATGTTTCCTTTTTAAAGTTCTAGGATAACAATATTGGCTGGGTTTTCAGTGTGTTTTATGTCTGGATCGTGTGCATCCTCTGCAATGTGAAATTCCCGATTTGTTTCATGCTGTACTGCAGGCACTTGGCACTAACCAAATTAACAATAGACCTCACTATACTAAGATAAGAGGCTAATTTCACAGGTACAGCATTTCATAAATCACACTATAGTTGACAGTTCAGAAATGGAGAATTAATTAATATTTAGAAATCTAATCAAATGGGAATAGTTGTAGGCTTATTAGAAACCAATGTCACATTGCTGTTTGAATCAAAGATTTCTAGGTCAGAATGACTGATGGTCATGTGAATTTTCTTATATAAACATGACTAATAACTCTCCAAATTCTACAGTTTTATCAGGTAATGTATCCTATATAATTGCTTAGTTAACATGTAAGAGAGTGCTCCTGAAAATACTTCACTCTATTTTTTATTTATTTATTTTTAATGTCACTTGACCGCTGCTGTGATAGTTCAGTCAGTTGAAATATGCAAATTTGCTGACATCTGAACTTGAATTTCAGTTCTTTTTGTTCTGTCACTGTGTAGATAAATAAAGCTGCTCATGACCTCAGTGTGGTTTTACTTCAGATATTAGACTTGTACTGATTAAACAGTTAGGAACTTGGTGGGTTTTGCAGTCTTGAATGACAGTAGCTTGATTCTGTTGAATTAATTCAAGGTAAACCTGTAATATTTTTGGAATCCTAAATATGCAAGAGAATTTGCTGTAGTTTTAAAATCTGTGTTAGAAGTGATGCTTGTTACTGATATAAGTGGATACTTTCATAAAATAGACAAAATCAAAAACACACCTAAGCTTTTCTAGTTGTGAATACTAGCAGTGTCTGTGGAAGTCTTTCATGGTGGTTTGCTCATCTAACCTGTTGTGGTATTCCCTTTAGTCACCTGAACTTCTACTTAAGTAATGAATATAATCTTTAATACTTTTTTAACTGATAGATTTCACATTGTTAACTGAATTCCAATTAGAGTATCTATTAGAAGGGTTGACTTTGTGGCTGTTGATTGTTTCAGACCTTGTGTTCACCCAGGCGTTTCTAAGCCTAAACTTTCTTTGGAAAACTTCCCATTATCAATACTTGTAGCCTTTTTAGTTTGGCTTTTGAATGAATGATCACAAAGGAGTTGCTGTTTTGGGGTAACACGCGTTGTAGTTCTTTTCACAGCCTAGTACCTCATTTCAAGAATTAATAGACTTCTTAATAGTTGAGAAGGTTTTTATCAGAGGTTTGGGATATTTTGTGCCAGGAAAGTGAAAGATTAGTGCCTTAATGGCAGTCCATTGATGCTTTTTAATGGTTTGTAGACTGAACTGAAGGTATGCATGGGAGAGCTTTTGTTCTACAAGATATTTCCTGCAGCAGAGAGTGTACAAACTTTGAAGGTGAAACTTCATCTACAGAGATTCTATATTGTATACATTCTTACTTGATTGAAGGGAAGGGAATTGAAAGAAGGGAATATGTGAAGGCCATTAGTTTGATAGTGTGAATAAACAGACTGGTTCCCATTGCCTATTACATTAGTCACCTCTCAATTTTCCATGAGGTAGAGAAGCAGCAAATGTATTCCACAGCTGTCCTGTCTCAGAGTGGGAGTCTTGCGTTGATTCTTCCATGATCTTAATTCTGTTTAAGTGATATTCTGGATGTGAGAGACTATATTTGAAAACTAGTAGCTTAAAAAAGGAATACCAAAAATGGCCAGAGTGTTTTTCAGAGTGATAGAAAACCTTTTAATATTTACATACAAAAAAACTCCACCAAAGACCATAACATATAATCTGTGTAAATACACTGGCTGTAGAAATGAGAAAAATATAGTCATTAGTAACTGAGAACTTAATAATTTACTTTAGAATGCTATGGATTTAGAGAGGACCATTGTACTTCCGTACTAAATGAGATGCTGAAGTTCTTGATTTTTATTTTAACAGGTTTTGGATTTTTATCTTACCCCCTCATCTTTTCTTCTGTTTCTTTCTAGGTTTAACTATAGATCAACACATCATCTTGCATCTCATGGGTTTTATGAATTTTTAAATTGGTTTGATGAAAGAGCATGGTATCCACTAGGAAGAATAGTAGGTGGAACTGTAAGTATCATAATAATAACTTAAAGGTGACTTTGCAGTAAGTTTTTTGAACTTTCAATGCAAATTCGACTTCAGTAAAAGGCAACTCTTAATAAAATATGCCTTTAATTGTCAAATTGCTGCAGAGGGAATATCAAGATATTTTTAATTTTTAGGTGCAGAAACTGAGAGTAAGTCAACATGCTTTAGTCTTTATCCAACACCATACTGTGAACAAGAAATACAGAACTTCTTACGTATGAACTTCTTATGGTAATAAAAAAAGGTCTCACTCCTGTAATACCTGTACATGAAATCAAAAAAGGAAAAACAATTTTTTTTTTTTAATTTTTTCTTGTCAAAACTGTTAACTAAATCTCTTAAGGTACAAGTTTTAATCCAGTGATATATGTTGAGTAGACTTCTTGTATGTATGGAAAAAAGTTAGGATTTCAGTGGGAAAAGACCTTGTGAAATTAAATCAGTGTGGCACCTGTATGAAGCATCAGGAATAGTTAAGATTGGCGTCGATGCAATTTTCAAGACAGGAAAGATGTACAAAACAATATTATCAAATCAGAATACAAATGTTGTTCATTGGAATACCTTTAATAACACTTAAGTTACTAACACAGCCACAGCCAGTTTCTTAATGTGTGAAAGTTGATTAAAGCTTTTTAATTATAGTGCATAACATTTAAAGGCATTAACGAAGGTTTTTTTGCAACAGATCACCATTTGTTTTACTGTCTTGGAGATACCAAAGTAAAGAAGATAAAGAGTCTTGAGACTCTTTATGTAACATAAATGCGTGTTACATACTTCCATACCTATCTTACATGAAGTAAAACCCCTTAGGAAAGGGAATTGAAATATATGCAGGGGAACATTCTGTCATTTGTTAATTTAGTTTCATACAATGCCCTTCTTCGTTTTTGAAAGAAACTAAGGCAGGTGAAGTTCATATTAACTTTTCTAGTATGTATTGATTTTTCTAATGTTGATAAATGTGGGAGGGTAGAATTCCTATTAAGAATATTTTAAAGTTCTCCAATATTTTGTGATGGGTTCAATAGATTTCATACCTTCCCTGGAGGGCATCTTAATTCAATTTTACAGGACTTTATTTTAATCTATCATATTCAAAGATCTCTACTGATGTCTTGCAAATATATGACACTCAAGTGACTGACCATCAACTTTTCAAATTTAAAAAAATTAGATTTTGTTGATGCACGTTTTCATTCCCCATTAGTACCAAGAAGTAAAAGAATGTCATGATATATTTTGAAGGAAAATGGATAGGGCTGGGAAATTTTGGGTTTCTTCTTGTTGTCTTAGGCTTTTGGGGTTTTTTTTCATTAAAACTGTTAGCTGGCTTGAAATTCTGTTGCTAACTTTAGCTTCTGCTTCCATACCTTAATGGCAAATTCTTCTCATTATATGTTAAATGTCAAACAAGGTAGGATATTACCTGTATGCTGCTTATTCATTTATGAAATAGATTATATGTTATTGTTAGCATTTGGATAAAATTTAAAGAACTTCTTGTATTCAGTGATGTTGTCAAAACTTGATTAAAGTAGTATTAATATAATTCTATTAGCTTATGCTAATGTTCACTGCTTATATCAGCTTAAGAAATTACCATTTCATTGCAAATTATATGTAAACAAACCTACCATGCTAGTTTTCTGCAATAACCTAATGTTTTGGTTTGTTCTGGTTTTTTCTCCTTGTAGGTATACCCAGGACTGATGGTGACAGCAGGCCTTATACATTGGATTTTAAATATGCTTAACGTGACAGTCCATATAAGAGATGTATGTGTGTTTCTAGCACCAGTCTTTAGCGGCCTTACAGCTATTTCTACTTTCCTGCTCACCAGAGAACTGTGGAACCAGGGAGCAGGGCTTTTAGCTGCCTGTTTTATCGCCATAGTTCCAGGTTACATATCTCGATCAGTAGCAGGATCATTTGACAATGAAGGCATAGCTATTTTTGCACTGCAGTTCACATACTATTTATGGGTAAGTAATTGCTGAGTCTTTTGCTTTGGAAAGGTTTTTTGGTTCCTCCTCCAACCCAGTGACTTGATTTTTCTTAGAATCCATTGAATTCTTATTTTCCTCCCTCTCATCCCTCTTCCCCTTGGCTCTTGATCAGGCAAGTACTGAGAAGTCACATGATCTGAACCACTCCATAATCATTCTCTTTAGTTCACTATGTAGAAGTACTGTTCCGCTGAAGTATGTGTGTCCTATAGTAATAATAAAAATGATGATGAGTCTATAAATTTAAAACAAACAGAGGGGTTGTTTTTCAGTTTATAGGTATTAGCATTATGTGTGCATCTAACTTTTAGCCTCCTTACATACCTAGTGAAAAGGAGTAGACTGAATATGGAGTGCTTTGAATTGTCTTCTGGAGAAGCTTTTGACTGTATGGACTGTCTGGGCTTTGATATAAGTATCCAAATTATTTAATCAAAGCTGTCTAGAGCAAGATATTAATGTTAACTTGAGTGCTTAAAAAAATGGTCTTATGTCTTTTAATTAGTCTGCTTGCTAAAGCTGCTTGTCAGTCACTCCTTAATCTGTATGTAGAATTTCATCTGTAATGTAGTTTTGCATGAAGGAGTTTAGGCAAGCTGTATCTTTTCTGGACCATTGAATCTAGTTTGGAAATAACACAAAAGCAGAACTATATTGTTAATTCATCATAGACACTGTAGTGCACTGTCCCTTGTGTGTTCCTGGAATGCATATACTTCTCATTTTGAGTGTCTGCACATAAGTATGTGCATGTGGTCATTACACCTTTTCTCATAATTTCGTATTTACAGATATTTTTAGCTTTAGAATATTTCAAACTTGGGATGTAGTTGGTAGGAATATGATAGAGGGGAATTGAGTTTTGTCATGACTGAGTGACTGGTGTTACCCTAAATGCAGTTTTTTTAAGTCTGGTCTTAGAATAAGCTGCAGCCGTAAAGGTGTACTGTGTTTGATAACAATATAGAATCAACTTACATTGTTATTTTAGAGTAACTGAGACACAATAGCAGTTCTCTGTTCTTAGGAAATCCATATTTAACTGAACTGCTTATGCAGTAATATTTGCATGACCGTCCGTAGAATTATGTGTGAATCAAATATATTTTATTGAAAACTTTCTAGCTTTATTTAATGTCTGTTCTTCATTCCTGTTTTCCCACACCACAGTCACCACCATCAATTTTAGAGAAATTCATGCTCCTGGGCTGTTTATGGATCCATCTAAACCTTTGGTAGTATCTGGATGCTCTCATTAACACTGAGTTTTTCAAAATTACAGAATAGCTCTTATGTCTGTAGTTGCAGAGTTGGGTCGGATGCCAGCCAAAGTAATGCATGGATAGTCAACACTCAGAATTCTAAAGTGGTCTAATGTCTCAGAGAAAGTAGTACAGGTGTTGCTACTACTGTTCTACATCGGGCCATGATGCAGAGAGTTGGGTCATATGCTGCCTCTGCTTTTGCTAGAGATATAAGCTCCTTTTGTGTGTGAAAGCATTGCAGTAGTGGTACGATTCTATGGACATCAGTTCAGAGACATACAAATATAGCTTGATGTGGGCTAAAGAATTTCTCTTAACAATTGAGTTGGAATGAAATTTTGGAATACTGTCCTGTCTTTGTGATTCATAAATACTTGGTTATTCTTCCAGGTGAAGTCTGTGAAAACTGGGTCAGTCTTTTGGACAATCTGCTGCTGTCTATCCTACTTTTACATGGTAAGGCTTTTATATATATAATAGCTGAACTATTTGAGTAGGGATTACATAATCCATATGTTAATAAAGAACCGAAGGATATTTTAATCTTTATTGAAGCCATAATATGAAGTTGTTGCTTCATATTTCCATTAAAACCTTAAATATATGACTAAAAGATATAATAAATAAATTGAAATTGAAAGTATTTAATAAACACCAAAAAGTTTTTTTTTAAAGTACTGAAGTTTAATAATTTATGAATTATTCCTATGCTATGAGTGGGTAGTCTGATTCAGTCAGATTTTCATTTGGGTACTTTGGGAATTTTAATATTCCTGTGTCTGTCTGTCATTATTATGAAAATGAAATAATAATCAGAATATTTAGAATGTAAGGACAAAGTTACATTTTTATAATTTTGAAAACTATTTCTTTGGGTATAATTATGCCATAGAGCTTACCACCAGGGTTGATGAATGATTTCAATGTCATAATAAATGATCATAAATACTCTTTTCATTCTTGATCTGTGAAGATGGAGGCTATTGCACAGATGTTCCTAAGGGCTAACAGAGGGGAAAAACAGTAGTAAAACTGAGGAGATGAAACTAATAGAAAAATGGAGAGAATTGGTTTTCACCCTCCTCCCATCTTCTGAAGCCTTAGACTTGAAGAATTTTCCTGTATGAATCAGTCAAAGGTCCTTTTTCCCCTTTTTCTGTGTGGCTGTATGAAAATAAATTATCCTCGAAATAGGCAGTGGTGGGACTGCCAGGCTAATTGCTTGGTGACAGTTAAGACTGAGGTCTCAAATGCTGCTTTTCTACCGTCAGGTAACTAGATTTGCAAGAAAAAGGAACTTACGGACTGTTTTATGTGCCTTAAAGTAGAAGGTTAATTCAAAGGTTGTCTGCATGCTGCCTAGTTTTCCTCTAGTTTTACTGTGCATTTGGTTTCCTGGGAGACTTTTGCTGTTAATATAGGAAATAATAACCCCGTGTTTGTCACCAAAGAGGATAGGATAGCTATTTCTTGTTAAGAGTACATTTATTTCATTCCCTATTTATCCTCATTTTGACCAAGTCATTAAATAAACAGCCACTTCTTTATGAACAGCATTGCTGTTTATATAGCATTACAGTGAAGAGAGTCTGCAGGTTTGGTACATGCTCTAGTGCAGTACAAAAGCAGGCAATTAAGTTCTTGAGTTGTTATATTTATGTGTCATAGTGTTTTTTATATTGTGCCAGTGTATTGGCAAGATTCTTTGAAAATACTCTTCCTTAACATACAGGTAAGAAATATAATACTTCACAGTTCTACTGCTGAAAAATCACACAATAACAGCTTCTACTGTCTTGGTCTGTGGGACTTTGTGAGAGGGAGAGGATGTGATCCAGGGTGTGCATGGTGACAGAGCTTATGGAATCAATGTCATCGTGACATTCAGTCCTTCAATCTAAAAGTGGGATTTTTTATTTTCCTGTAATGTGTTATCAGCTCGTGAAAGGTTAAGATTTGTCCATAGCTTAGCCTCAGATCTCAGTGATTAGATAATAGAATTTTATTGCTTACAGAGTGCACATGCTTCATCCTAAGTAGGTGATAGCTTTCCATATGTTGTATTTCCCTTTTGGAAAGAATTTTAAGATGCCCTTCTGGACATTTTGCTTAGGTAAATTTTTAGGACAGAGCATAATTCTGCTATTTGTTACATAATAATAATTTGTCATTCTCTGATTAAATTAGTTGTTTTCAGTCTAAGTTAGAAGTTCAGTCACAATTTTGAGGTAGTAAGAGTCAGTTCTTTCATGGGAAATTTGGGGAACAGTTTCTTTGAAGGTGAGTGGATATTGCATGAACTGACAAATCTTTCTTGATCACTAAATCTGCTTAAAATATATACCTAATTCACTGTGGTAATTTGACTCATATAATTGCATTCAATATAGAGAAACGTTTTTTTCCTTGCATTTATATTTTTAGCATTTATTTTACTTGAACAGCTTTTCATGATGAAGAGGTAAAATAAAACAAAGCTGTACATTGAAGCAATCCTTGTAGCAGTAATAGCATGTTTTCACTCTTTTTGCCAGTCTATGAGGATGCCTCAGTTTTGTTTGAAAAGTTCCAAAGTGCATCCAATTCAGTATAATCTTCAGTGCTTAGATTTGGTTTAATATTTTGGTAATTAGAGATGCAGGTCTCTGATCCATACAAAGTGTTTTCTACCTGCTTCATTCAAACCTTTCCCTAAGTGTAACAGTGTTCTAACTGCGCATTTGTACTTACGTGTCTTCATGTTTTCTCCCATTAAATAAACTTACCTGTGTAAACCATGATACTTCATGCTGTAATTTGGCAATAGAATCATGATAATCTGAAATGAGTTTTTTAGAAACTTAGATGATTTCTATTCTACTTGTATCACACTGTCTGAATGGGTTACCCCACATTTTGAAATGCTGGGTTTTGTAGTGTTAGTGTCAAAAGCCAGTAATGCTTGGCCTCATCCTTATTTTAGAATCTCTTCTACAGAACACAGTAATTTGGGTTTCTTTTGGGCTTCTAGGGCTTTAAAAATATCTACTTAAATCTAAACCCTAAAGTACAATTTAAGTGAAAACCACATTAGCTACTGCATTCTAAAAATGAAGACCTAGGATAGGCAATGGTGCATATGGGGGAAGTCTAGACTGTAATTTGACAAGAGGACATGTTAAAATACAGATTGTCTAGTCAGCATTAGCCCTTCTAAATACATTAGAAATTTAGATAACACATAGTAATGATAGCTCATTAAATCCTTACCTGAACCAGCAATCAGTGATGCATTAATACCCTTGTAGTGTTTCAGTTCTAAGTACACCATAGGAGTTCTTCTCAAGAGCTCTTGTTGCCAAAGATTTGCAATATCCATGATATTGTTGTATACCATTCCATAGCGCTCAGTCCCACTTTTGTGTGCATCCACAACCTTGCTTTTATTTCTTTCCTTACACGGCAGCCTGCATTGGCTGCTCTGCTCCAGGAGTTCTGCTCCTGGAGGTGTACGTTGCTCCCTTTCTCTTCTCTGCCAGGAGATAGTGTTCCCTGTCCTCAGCAAAAAGTGCAGAGCATGGTGCTAAATTTGTCTATCAAAAGAAAGTTTTGGATCCTACATGGGATTATAGAATATCCCGAGTTGAAAGGGACCCACAAGTATCATCAAAGTCCAGCTTGTGGCCCTAGGGATCCTGCTGCTGCCTTGGGCTGCAGCCTTCACCAGGGGAAAAGATTTTCCCCAGCATCCCATTCATATTTGGAAGTATGACCAGATTAGCTTGGAAGGAGGAGATTCAGGAAGGATGACCTTGAAAATCCGTCAGCCCACTTCCAAATCCTTTGATACTTGGGCTTTTGTTGTGGTTTGTTTTTCTTTGATAATAAATGTTGAGAAGGATTCTGGTGGTATTACTAGTAGTGCTCACTGCCTGTCTAGATGGAGTTTGTGTTTTCTTGTTAGACCATCACCATATTTAAATCCAGCATTGGCTATGCTAAGAATTTGCAGATAATTTCAGATCTAATTTCCTGTTCCATTTGTCATAGGTCTCTGCATGGGGTGGTTATGTTTTCATCATCAACCTTATTCCACTGCATGTGTTTGTTCTGTTGCTGATGCAGAGATACAGCAGGAGAGTCTACATTGGTAAGTTTTGTTCATTGAACAGTCATTATCACATGCTTAAATGTGAGATACGAAGTTAACTGCACTGATGTGTTTTGTATCAAGTGGGTATTAAGTAATTGCATATCAGACTGAACTTTCTTAATTTGATTACTGATTATAGTCAGTTATTTTCTACAACATGGAAATAAGGAGTTAAAACATACACTTCTAAAATTTTGTGTATGTAGCTGCTAATTAATTTTTTCCTTTCTAGTGCACAGCAAAAAAAATTGGGTGGTTTGATATAGTAGAATTCTTGAAATATTTTTAAAATATATATTGTATGTGTGCCCTTAGTAATATTTCATATTTTTCTCTTTTACTAGTATGAAAAACAATTGCTATTTTTAAAAGTTGTACAGCAGAAATTATGAAAAAATATAGTAGAAGACTTAAGAAATTTTAAGCAGCCATGTATGTTTTATATAACAGACTAGGACTGGATGTTCCATGTAAATTTTTAAAATTTTATTGGATTAATCAACCTTCCTTCTAGCTTCTGGAAAGTGTGAATAGGGATCTTAGAATACTAACTTTTTAATTGATTTGCCTGACATTTCAATAGTCTGTAAACTGTTTTTACAGGCACTTTACCGATAAAATCAGTTGGCCATCATGTGGGTGTGTGAATTAAATAATTGATAAGCAATTCAGGTATTCAGAGGTTTATAAATTGGCTTCACATTAAAAATGTTCTAGCTTTAACAGTAGGTAGTTTGAGAACATAATGTGAGCTGAGGTGTAATCATAAAGCATTATTTCATTTGTAAATATATTTTTGTTACTCATTTTAATACTCTTGCATCTTTGTATTTTTAATTATTTTAATGCCTTTTTTAGTGCCTGCTAAAGAAATTACTGTATGTGCATCTATAGATGAACCATTGTATGCTACAATAGTTACTCAATTTAGTCAAGTTCATTTTTTGAGATTTTGTTATCAAACTATAAATACTGGTTTCATATTTCTTTGTTATCCTATATATGTAAAAGAACTGGAAATTCTTAAAAAAAAAAAAAGGAAGGAAAAATCTCTAGCCCATTTTTAATTTTTAATGTTTGTATTACTTAACTTCTTCATTAACTACTTCATAACTTAGAGGGAAAGTAATTTATCTCGTTTTGCTTTTAAAACTGTTTTATTGAATATTTTCATTTTCCAATTTCTATGAGTTATGCAAGAGAAAATTAAATCAAGTCATTATAAAATCCTGAAGCAGTGTGGCAGCCAGAAACAATAAAGAATAAGTACTCTTGCTTCTTCTGCTTTCGATGAACTAGTCTTTGAATTGTGTGGGGAAAATACTACTGCAGGTTCATATGAATTAAAGGTTTTGACAGATGTTTGTTTTGCAAATAGCTACAGTGTTTTGAAATGTTATTGCCCTTCAGCAGTGAGGGATATATACTGCCATGGAGTTGTCAGAATGAAAATGTGATCGCTGCTCTGCTGTTTCATTGCAACTGCTGGCTTCATTTAAGCTTTCATGGGAAGCCTTAGAGGAGTCTGTACATCTCACATTACTATATAATTTCTAGGTTTGTTTAACAGGATGTTTTTGTGAAACAGGTAAGAGTGTTCAAGCACTTCTGAGAGGAAATTCAAGTGTGCTTCACTTCCAAACTATTCAGATAGGGAGAAGAGTTTACAAAAGCTCATTGAAACAGGGAGAATAAAGATATTTTGTGAGTTTCTGTGAAATGTAGTTGCTAGTGTGCCTGCTTCAGTCTCATAATTCTTAAAAACTACCAATGTACAGCTAAAATTTCTGTAAAATATTGTCAGCTGACTGTAGCTAGTAAAATCTGCATCCATTTTACTTATTATTGAGAATTTTGGGGGGTTCAATCTCTAGATCAGTTGCTTAGGTTTATTTTAAGCTAGCATGAGCCATTTGGTAAAGGTTATTTTATGTTCAATCAAACATAGTAACATAAATGTAGAGAACAATATTTGGCAGCACCAAGTTTTTAGAAATAATGATTCCTTCCTAGTACATGTTTTTCGTATGGGTGTTCATACACCAAGGAAAAGATTAATGGGACATGATCTGATATGCCTGGGAGTGTAATTCAGAACCATTTAATGAGTAAAAAATTTCCCAGAATGTGAGGATTTTGCCAATTTTAAAATATTTTAGGGCTTGCAGGCAAATGACTTTATCAGCCAGATAGCTTCTGACCCACTTGGCATCAATGGTGATGATGCTACCTACATTTGAAAGCTCAAGCTGTGCTTTTATTTTTTCATCTTGACAGTGATCGGTACTTTTCAGTCAGATTCTACTGACTATGTTTGATTGAACATAAAATAATAGTGTAATCATTACAAACGAGTGCTTACAATTCCAATGTATTAGCAGCGCTTGTAGAAGTGAATAACCTCTTTATACAGATACAGCAACCATTGATACTATTTTCTTTTGCTGTGCTTAGTTTTTCTTTAAGTCACGCTTGCACATTTAATGTTCACTTCAATTTGGTTTTTTTTCTGTACAATTTTTTTAAGTTCTGTACACTCATCAGAATATTTAATAACAAAACACTTGAGCATCTTCCAGAATTTAAAACTTAACTTCAGTAACTCCTTGTTCTTTGTTTTGGATTTTGTCATTCGAACAGTGAACAGTTGATTTACATCAACTACTTCAGTATTCTAAAACTTCAGAGCAGATGTTTATTTCTAGTGATTGTAATCCATTAATTAAAAGTATAAGCATGTGGGCAAATATATGATCATACTCTCTGGAAAAGCTTTTCAGTAGGTCTTTCCTGTGTTTGTGGTGTATGGTAATGGCAATTTCAATTGTTTGTAAAATGAGTTTATCCGCAGTAGGTCAAAATGTTTTTGTTCTGGACTTGGTCAGAGTTATAGCCTGCAGGAGTCAAAATTAACTCCTTTTTGCAAAGACTGTGCAAACAGTAGACTGTAAAGGAACATGGAAATTTCATGATCATATATCACCTTGATGTTTCTAAGTTCCTAGATAAATTGTGTTGTTGTGTAAATTACTTTTTTTTAATCTTTTCAATACCAGGCAATATGTAGCTCTTGGAAGAACTGGGAGTAAGGGATTGGAGAGTGGGGGGCAGTGCATATAGAAACTAAAGCAATTGCAGGACTGGACTTAAAAATGATGACTTACAGTGGTCTAACAAGTGTGAAATGTAGTGATTTATGCCAATCATTGAACTTCCACAGGATGGCAGTGTTGTAACAGTTGCTTGGTAGAGTAAATGATTTATGTTGTAGCAAATTCTTCAAAAATTGAGCTTCCTACAGGAAAAGTGTATTTCAGTGACATAAGAGGGCACAGGTCAGTAGCTAGGCCAAGTCATGCAATACAGATGCTTGAAGGAATACACCAAGTGCTTGGAAATACCATCACTGTCACTTCTGACCGTTTTGGAACACATAGAGTGTTCTGGGAGCACGATCCCTCATTGAGACCACACAGGTGCTGTGGAAACGATACCTCTGGTCAATGATGCGCTCCCCAAAACTGATCTCACGGAGGTTAGTAAAGGATTATATGAGAACAGGGATCTCTTCATAAGATCCAGGCCATAACAGAGACAGTGGTTTAGGATCTGTAGGAGTGTTTAAAGATCTGAAAGGTGGATTGTTGCTGTTTGCCGCTGAAGGAACAGAACTTCATTTGGACTTTGGTTACTTCAAATATAATCAGACTCGTGGCAGTTCAGAGTTGGTATTTTTTTCTTCCCCTCCCATTTCTTCTTCACCCTGTAATACTGAGGACCAAAATCCCTTTCAAAATAAAGTATATAAATGGTAGTGCATGTGTAATAATAATTTATGGTTTTAATACTACTGTTAATATTAATTATGATCTTGTCCTCTACTTTCTGGAGCCCCATGGTTGATACAGATCTATCAATATATACACTTAATATTAATTTTTAATTCTATTGCTTTTCAGTTTCTTGGCATCACTCTAGGCTTGTGTTTAAAAAAAGAAAAAGTGTACCTCTTTGCATTTTTCTAAATAGGTAGTGGGCTCTTACATGTTTTGCTTTTTTGAGGTCCGATCCCTTCAGTTTCTCCTCATATAGAAAGCTTCTTTTGTCGCTTTTTATGAGAGAGCTCTTTCCCCCATCCATGACCCTCAAAAACAGGGAAGCTAGAACATCTTAGGTAGATGGCTTAATTCCCTAGGAGTAGAAAAACCAATGCAATTAAGAACAACAGTACTCTGCTACTTCTGCTAAAATTGGATGCCATAGACAAGTTTATTCTAGTCAAAGGAGGAAAAAGTAATTAGGATGGCTGAAATATTTAGAATGATACTGTTCTGTTTCAGTGTCACTGAAGTTAGGGGGAAAGATGGACTTTATTGTGGAACCAATTCTTTTTCAAACGTGTATTAATTTTGTTCCTGCTTTTCTCCCCCTCTCCTCACATTTTTCTTTCCCAGCATATAGCACTTTCTACATTGTGGGGTTAATATTATCGATGCAGATACCTTTTGTGGGATTTCAGCCAATTAGGACAAGTGAACACATGGCAGCTGCAGGTAAGAAAATTAGACTTTTGCTTCCAAGAGGCTTCTTAGCACAAGAAAACCTCAAACCCTTGCGGCTTTGTTTCCTTGTATTAGAAAGAGCACATACTAGCAAACCAAATTGTTAAAGAAAAAGAGGTACAATTTAGTGTCTGTAGGGAAGTTTTCTTTCTAATTGACACATTATCCTCTTCTTGTGTGAGCTAATGGAGGTAAAATGCCTCTATAACACTGGATCAATTAGCATTCTGACAAGCACTTACTTTACACGTTGATTATCTCTCCTGTTTTGCAGTACAATGTTGCCTTCAAGCATTGTACAATTGAAACATTCCTTACTGGTAACAGTTTTTACTGAGCAATTTGGTTTTAGAGTTGATAGTCTTCTGTAATTTTTCAGAGTGGGTTAAATACAAATTACTTAAGTTACTAATCACAAGGCTGATTTTCAAATAACTGATTTCAATTTTGTTTGGTTTTTTTTTTTAAATTTCTTTATGTTGATTTTTCAGAAGTTACTAAGAGTCAGATATCTTGATTTCTTGAGAGCAAGAACCTCTGCTAACACTGAGTTCAACTGCATGTGCTGTTTGTGCAATACAGTTCAGCCTGTTCAGTTCCTCAGGGGTTTTTCTTATGTGTAGTCACTTATCAAAATGTATTTGGGACAGTGATTGGAATATCATGAAAATTTAATATAAAAATACTTTTAAAATTGACACTTCTTTTTCAGCAATCTGAGTATAATGGAAAAAGAAAAAATTACCAAACCACATTTTGTTTCTGAAGAATTTTACATTTATTTAGTGAATGGTCTTTCTCTAGGAGTTCAGAACTAGCAAACTTCATTATGGATGTCAAATTCGTTGTTAATTTGAAGAAAGACTGGACACTTAAGCTTTTTTTTGTTCTTCTGCCAGCTACCAGTGAATTTTCTCTTTTGAATGGACTCATCACTGGATTGATCTGATTATATATCTTGAAATGAATAATAACAGAAAAATTGTGTCCAAGTTGTGGGTTTGATGTTAAACTCTTAATAGCCTTTTTGAGGATGTGGGGTGCTCTGCCAGTGATTTCTGGTGTTTCAACACTAATTTTATGTAATTCACTTGTCTGTCACTTACTACTTGTTTAGTTTGGCTTTTTCTTTCATTAAATCCTCTGTTTAGTTCAGTAGCGTAAATTCCATATATTTCTATATTAACCCTGTTTGTGTGTTGACTGGAGTCTGTGAATTTATTTTTCACCATATCTAGGTATGCTAACCTGTATTTTTGTCACAATCAGTGCAATCTAGTTTTCAGGTGATTCTCTCCTTTACCCCAATTTGAGGCAGTGTTGGAGGCTAAAAGAGGGTATTTGAGCTCTTGATATAATTAGCAAATAAATTTTTGGAGAATATTTTCTCTCATTGGAAGTTTCTGTCTTTACAAGAAAGTGTCATCTCTCTTAAGTATTAAAAGCTATTTGTCAGAAAGTAACTTTATACTAGTTTCTAGATGTTAGGGTGTACCTTGTGTTTATTTTTCTAACTCAAATATAGCCAAAGTATGTCGGTTACTGTTACTGCTTTTGAGTATTTAAACAAAAACTTTCTTCTCTCTTTAGGTGTTTTTGCACTGTTGCAGGCATATGCATTTTTGCAGTATCTGAGAGACAGATTAACAAAGCAAGAATTTCAGACATTATTCTTCTTGGGTGTCTCACTAGCTGCTGGTACTGTGTTCCTGAGTGTCATCTATTTGACATACACAGGTAAATAAATGTGAAACTAATTTACCTTTAGAGCAGGTAAACCAAGATGGTCAACATTTGATTTAGCCTAAAGTAGTTGTTGGCAATGCCACAGCAAACCAGTGCTCATGTTATTGTATGTTTCTTTGTGTTGGAATTCACTGTGCTTTCTGGGCTGCAGGAAAAAACCAACTTTGTACTATCATGCCAATATTTCAGGCTTATGCACAATACACATAGTGATGTAAGAAGTCAGAGTGGATGAGGAACATAACTGTAGTCAAAGCATGTTATGAAGATACATACAGCTAATCTGGGTAATACAATATTTTGGGTAACATTGATGGGTTAGGGTCAAATTGCTTCCCTTCTGAAATACTCAAGTCTGATTCCTGTTCAAGGCATCTCTGCCTTGTCTCACAAGAACAAGCTTGTCTTTGCTTGGTTTCCATCCTCAGATGCCTCACTGCAGCCTTTTGATTCCAATTCCTTTGGTGACACGCTTCCTTTGGTGATCTGATACCATACTTGCTTCCCCAGATGAAGAAAAGCACTCTTATTTTCCTGCTAATTATGTTAGCCAGGCAAAAATTGACTTCTGCTTGGTTTAAATTCCATGATCTTAATATTACTGAGTCATGCACAAAGACTTGGGTAATAAATAAAAGGATAAGTTGAATATGAGTCAGCAGTGCCTGGGCAGCCAGGAGGGCCAACAATGCCCAGGGAGGCATCAGGCAAAGCATCGCCAGCCAGTCAAGGGAGGGGATTGTCCCGCTCTGCTCTGCACTGGTGTGGCCTCACACTGAGTCCTGTGTGCAGTTTGGGGTACACAATATAAAAAACATACTAAGCTATTAGAGAGTGTCCAGAGGAGGGCAACAAAGATGGGGCAGGGTCTGGAGGGGAAGCCGTATGAGGAGTGGCTGAGGTCACTTGGTTTGTTCAGCCTGAAGAAGGGGAGACTGAGGGGAGACTCAGTTACAACATCCTCACGAGGCGAGGTGGAAGGTACCGATCTCTGCACTCTTGTAACCAGTGACAGGACCTGAGGCACTGGAACAGGCTCCCCAGGGAAGTGGTCACAGCAGCAAGCCTGACAGAGTTCAAGAAGTGTTTGGACAGTGCTCTCAGGCACATGGTGTGATCTTTGGAGTGTCCTGTGCAGGACCAGGAGTTGGATTTTGATGATCCTGATGGATCCCTTCCAAACTCAGCATATTCTATATTTAACTTTCTCTTATTTTACCTTGTCTGTATCTGTCTTCAGAAGGAGCTGAAATAGTTGCAAGGAAAGTGGAAATAAAATTTAAGAAGAAACTTGCTCATAATTTTTAATAATAATTTTTATCTTTCATCTCATAGATATACTATCTCTTATGATATTTAAGTATCTAAAGGCCTTGTTTTAAAAAACAATATGTAAAGCTTATCAGCATGTCTAGTAGCAGCTTTTATATTCTATGCCACATGTAGATCCATCAGCAGAGAAATAATGGGAAACCAGTGTTTCCTTGAGTTGTTAGTGTTTTGGCTGTAGATCGTTCCCAGTTTCCCCTGGCATTTCAGAAAAATGAAATACTTTCTTATCAGTTACGTTTTGTTTTTCCTGTACATCTTTACAGAGTATAGATTGCTATCTGTCATATTCTTTGAGAAATATTTATTATTGCATTGCTTTGACTTTTGGAGGGGTGTGTGTCTTGATACTCACATTGTACTCAACAAGTACAATATGATGCTGTAAATGTGTTCTAAAACTAGCTTGCTTCATGGTTGGTAGATTTTATAGCCTGCCTAATGCAGTAGGCCTGGTTCACATATATCACAAGTTCAGTGAAATTCATTTGGTTTTGTGCTATAACTTGAGGGAGTAGAAAAATTATTGCATTTAAATACTCAGGTAGCAAAAGGGTTTTTCCCCCCTCCTTCTCTTTTTCAGGTTATATTGCTCCTTGGAGTGGCAGATTTTATTCATTGTGGGACACTGGGTAAGTAAGGATATGAGATTTAGATATCAGTAGCATTCTGCTGAAAACTAATAATCATTTGCTCTCCTCATTCCCAAATCCATTTAGTATTTTAGTCAAGGAGAATATAGTGGGCTTAAATCAGTTACCTAAAGAGAGCATTTGTAGTAACCACTTCATGATCTTTACAACCATTTCACTAGTTTGTCTATTAAATTTCTTGCTTGTTTGGAAGTCTTTAAATATGTAATGGTATGTCTTTTTCTATATGAAACTGTAGTGTGTATGTCAGCATAAAATAACCGAAGCTGTATCAACACTTGAGTGCACATTTAAAAATCACTAAGAGCCTTAGACTAATTTCATTGTGCAACATAGCACGAAATCACAAAGATGTTGCACATATGATCTTGCATGTTGCCTCTGTATTATGTTCACGTATCTGTTTTGTGTATACAGATGTCTGCTCTGAACAGTTCTGGTTTATTAATGTGTTTTCACAGGTTAAAAACCTTGTTAATCTTTGTTTTAGTTAACCTTTAAAAATGCAATGTTAGATTCTCTAGCCAGCCAGGAGAATAGGAATAAAATGGAAAGTATTTTTTGCAGGTAAATATTTTAAGGTGAAATTCAGTTGGTAGATTTTTTTTAAGTTTAGAGCAGGGATAGGAGAACTTCAAACTTTGTGCAGTTCAGGGTTTTTTCAGGCTCCAAAGTCCAGCTCTTACAGGGTTCTGTACCAACTCTAATAAAAGCAGTAGAACAGATGTCAGTAAAGAACCCTCAAATTTATTTGAAGAATATCTAGATGTTGTTCTTTGCCTATAATGAAGTTGTCTATATATACAAAGCATTGAACTTTTGAGGGCTTGTCTACATTAGAAAAACATACTGTGTTAAAACACACAGTGCAGTTTTGAATGAGAACTAGATCTCAGTGAAGAAAAGGACATATGTTTGATACCTCACCACTCAATCATATAGCACCTGAGATTAGGTCCATATGTATAGCTGTCTGTAATATAGAACACAGTTTTGTCCTTGTCTGCACTGAGTGTTTGTCATGTTGTTTAGATGACATGTATTTCCAAGTGTAGACAAGGCCTGATTTTTTTTTTTTTTCAGCATCTAAAAGAATCTGGGTGCATCAGTAACTGATCTGGTATTTAACACTGTAACTTTCTTTACTAAGAAGATTAAGGTATTCTATGTAGAGGAGAGTTTTTGAAAAACAATGTTGAAAATTTAGGAGACTTACTGGCAGTGATGACAAACTCTTCAAAAACGTAACAATGGAGCTTCCATAGCTGTGTTTTCATTTTGATGAATTTGGCTTTACATGTAGCCATAAACAAACAAAACATCCATAATTTTCATTGCCTTAAATAATATGGAAATAGTCCCTTATATCGTTGTTTTAAATTACTCCAAATGCTTCCTAGATGCAGTAAGACCTTGTGACTTTTTTGGTATAAAGGTTTCATCAGATTTCTGCTGAATAGAGCACTTACCATTTTTAATTGAAATGCTTCCTTTGAAATCAAGTTCAGAGTTCCTAATGTTTACAAGTTTTAATAATTTTATCTTTTCAAAATAATTTGAACTGAATTTTTTTTAAAAAAGGTATGCGAAAATTCACATCCCGATCATTGCCTCTGTGTCTGAGCATCAGCCTACAACATGGGTTTCCTTCTTTTTTGATCTGCATATTCTCGTGTGTACTTTCCCAGCAGGGCTGTGGTTCTGTATCAAAAACATCAATGATGAAAGAGTCTTTGGTAAGAGAAAATATTTTTAAATTATTTTGAAAAATCTTGCCTTCAACTTGATTCTGTTTTTTTGTTTCCTCAAAGCTGATATATGGCTTGTTCTAAAAAATGGTTTAAAGGTGACGTGTTTAGAGATGATTATTGAAAGTTGCCTGCATCCAGCGGTATTTAAAACTGTTTATGAAATTGCAGAGGTTGCTGAAATGGTGATGGAATGTAGTTCCAAGAGGTGGGATTGAATTATTTGTCGCTACAGTTCAGTTCTGCACCAGGAGTTTCATGCTCTTCTCCAGGCTGACGTTTCATACCATGCGTCGAGGTGCGGTTCTGCAGTGCGGATCAGCCGGGGGAACAGCTCAGCGTCCCTATGTCAGTGACAACAAATTGCTTATTTGTACAAAGCTGTACTCTGAAAGCAAACTTCTAAGATCATGAATGAGGCTTGTAAGGATGTACTTTGGAGTTTTAATCCGTATGGAGGAATGAAGATCAGTCAGGTCTTGAATTTTTACAGGACAGGAGACTCCAGACTAATATAGCTGCCTCTTAAGACTACCTAAGAGATGTGTGGGCATTGGGAATGTTTACTGGGTTAAATAAATCCAGTGACTCTGGGGTATTCTGTGCTCTGTGACTTACAGTTAATTCTTGTCAAGACCAGTGCTGGGCAACTTGCCTTCAGCCTCCTACTGCTGCATCATCCATGTAGGAGGGCATAGAGAGACCTATGAGTGAGGGTGGAGAGCCGTACTGCCTCAGTACAAAGTAGAAGATATTTACATAATATAATCTGATAAATTGGTGTCCCTTGATGATTTCTGTGGCAAATCTTTCACAAGAGGATGTTGTTAAACTGTAGCAGACAAGGAATCCATCAGGAGGAAACCACTATGAGATGTTCCTAATCAGTGTATACAGCATTGTTTGGGGTTTTTTTCCTTCCAAGGAAAGTGTTCTGAATATTCCTTACTCTTCTGAAAACATTGGTTTGTGTTTTGTGGGAGATGAAGTGGAGATAGTACTGTTCAGAAAAGCTTCCTTCAGAATAGGGCTCACAATATCATATTTTTCATCTGTATGGAATTATAATGTAGACAAGCCCCCAATTTGTCCACAGATATCTCTAGCTTAAAATTAGAATATAATATTTGCATTAAATTGTAACACTTCCTTTTGCTTTTTCAGTTCCAGTAACTTCTTTGGTTTAGGGCTGTTTGACCTTTTTAATCAAATGAAGCTACCTATTATTCTAGTAGTATTTTTGGTGTGTAATATTAAATTTCACTAATAATGTATATTCTGGCACATTATTAATGCATATGAAAATGGAGTTGTGTTATTATTAAAAGTTGTCAAGGTGAACCTCAGGAAATGTTTGAGGCTTAACAGGGATAAGTGTTAATTCAACCGAATGTTGTAAATTAAAAAGTAATGAAATGCAAGATGCACACTTGAGTCTTTATATACACAGATGCTCTACTCACTTCCAGAAGTAGTTTTATGGAGGCCATGTACGTGTGCAGTCAGTTAGTAGTATTTTCTAAATGTCATCAGTAGGTTTGTTTCTTTGCAGTTGCTCTGTACGCAATCAGCGCCGTTTACTTTGCTGGAGTGATGGTTCGACTGATGCTCACTTTGACTCCAGTGGTCTGTATGCTGTCAGCAATTGCTTTCTCCAATGTCTTTGAGCGTTATTTGGGTGATGATATGAAGAGGGAAAATCCACCAATAGAGGACAGCAGTGATGAAGATGATAAAAGGAACCCTGGCAACCTGTATGATAAGGTGAGGGGAGGAAGCAAGAGTTAGAAGTCAGAAAACATGAGTTCCATTGTCAAGAGTGAAAAAAGTTGCCATAACAGATAAATTTGTGTTTGTTTAGGCAGGCAAAGTGAGGAAACATGTATCTGAACAGGAAAAAACAGAAGAGGGACTGGGTCCCAATATCAAAAACATTGTGACTATGCTGATGCTGATGTTGTTGATGATGTTTGCTGTTCACTGTACCTGGGTAACCAGCAATGCATACTCCAGCCCCAGCGTGGTTCTTGCTTCCTATAACCATGATGGGTAAGTAAGGTCTGTGGGTCTGAGAGTGATTAAAGGGCAAAAGCCTTTCTACTGCCTTTGCATTAACAATTGGCTTTACTTTCTTTAATCAGTTCTTATTATATTAAAGCAGAATTGTCACCTGAATAAAAAATTCTTAATACTCTAATTTTCAAAAAGATATAACGTTTTCTGAAATATTTAATGTCAGTATATAAAAATAATCCTACCCAAAGCCAATAAAGATGATGGCTAAAAAAAACCCAAACCAACAACTTTCAAGTCAACTGGGAAAACTTGTTTAAGAATATATATTTGACAGGAAATGCACTGGGTCATGTCTTCAAAAGCAGTTCAGCTTCTGGCCATTCAGCTGTCAGAGGGTTCAAACTTATGACTGCTGGTGACCAAATCCCTCAAAGAAAGTTGAACTCATAATAAAACCCTTATTTGTGAGACGAGATTTATGATGGTGCAGTTGGTTTGTTGCTAGTATTTGTTCCAATGAGAATAAAATGAACTGTTTTGCAGCACCCGAAATATCCTAGATGACTTCAGAGAAGCCTATTACTGGCTCAGACAAAACACAGATGAGCACGCCAGAGTGATGTCATGGTGGGATTATGGTTACCAGATAGCAGGGATGGCCAACCGAACAACCTTGGTTGACAACAATACTTGGAACAACAGCCACATCGCCCTGGTAAGGGAGGCAGTTTTCTGTGGAGGCACCAAAATGTTTCCATTGCAGTCCAGTGTGAAATTGTAAATACCTCTTGATAGGCAGTGTGATATTAAGGAGAAATTCCGTAGAGTGGGAAACACAGAGGTGGAAGGAACATATTTCTTTTTGCATTTATTAGAACTCAAGTCTAGGGATCGATTTTTGCTTTGGGGTTTGTTTTGTTCACTCGATGCTTCCAAAACTTCCTTTTCAGTTTCTCTTTTTTTCATTTTGTGAGGATAGACAAAACCTAATGTAACCATTCTCCGTGGGATTAGTGCTACAACAGCTTACCTGGTACTGCTGCTTTACTGGCTTGTCCAAATAGGGGTCTTTTCAGTTCAGCAGTGTCATTGCTGAGTGGATTTTTGAATGGCATGGGAAAACTGACCACAAGGACTAAAAAAATTTTCAGGCATCTGGGAAATTAGAGAGTTTGGCAAGCAATGGAAGTGTAGCAGATTTGATGCAATTCTGTCTTCTCAAATTTGCAGTTAGACAAAAATATCTGCACATTTAATTTCTTTCACTTCTGAAGAGTAAGCTTAAGCTTTGTACTTATATGGGCTTAAGGCAGGGTGTTAGCACTGCTTGTGGTTACAGGGGCACCACCTTGGGCGACTTACACTGTTTTCAGAAACCAAAGGAAGCTCTATATTGCAACTGGGTTGCAGCCTTACTAGGTGCTGTGTAATTATCATTATCACTCTGTGATGACATCAGTCATCACTCAGTGCCTGTTTCTTCCAGAATGTCATGCTGCAGGGACAGAGCGGAGGTAGGGCTTGAGGAACGTATTAGGATAGTTTCTTGTCTTGTGTTAGTAGCAAGTACAGCATTTGGACCAGATCTGCCAATAAGCAGTGTACAGAGGCAACAAATAATTGAAGTTGTGCTCTGAGCTTACAGAGTCCTGAAAAAACGTGTATTGGGGAAGGGGAGAATCACATGTATGTGCTTTTGACAGGGGCAGGGAAGTCGCATCAGCCAAAAGCAAGCTTGGGAAATTGTACCGTTGGTGCTGATATCAGTCAAGAAGCATTGCCGTGTGCTCTGAGGCACTTCTAATCTGGTTGTTGACATGGCATTACTGTATTTTGATGGATATTCAGCTCTGATAGCTCTATGTGCCTCCCTCTCTAAACCCACAGATCCTTGCAGGACAAGGTGCATCATGTGAATAGAGAGACTGTGGAAGTCATCTCTATTGCCTAAGCACAGTAGCCATACACATTGCAGCAATTAGCAATGATAGTTTTCAATAAAGAATTCTCTCCAGTATGACTGCTGGTGCTGTCAAGTTCCATTTCAGAATGAATGCTCCATAAAGGGGGACCCAAGCAATAAATGTGCACTGTGGCGAATATCTGATCTTCTGCTGTAAATGAGGCATGCCCTTGGAGACGTGTCCAGATGATTTCCTCCCGCACAGAGATGGAAATCTGCCAAATATCTTCACATTAATTAGGATAATGGCCAAGAAGCTGAGGTTCTTGGTCTTTTTGACAGCTTGCAGCCAAAGCTAAGCGTTCTCTAATTACGTTCTTAGCTGAAGATGCAATATTATTTATGTTGTAGTTACTCCCTTTTACTCCAACGATGTGTTATTATATCCTAAGTAGGAGCTTCAGCAGCAAACAAAGCTGCTGAACTAAGTCCCACTTGCTGACAAAAGGGAATTGTTTTAAGTGTGACAAATGACCAGGATGGAAGAGGTGCTGGATACAGCTTTAAAAAGTTTTGTTCTGTGTAAATTTACCTTGACTTAATGCGGAGGGTGCGTGTGTGCTACTGAATGCAATGCAACATGTCTGCTTCAGTAATGAAGGACAGAGCTCAAGGAAAAAAAAAGTCACTAACATTTCAAATAACTTATACACTTTGGCCTGTGTCTAAAGCTCTGAAAATGATTTGTAATGAGTTATTTTCTGCAACACTAAGTTTTTGGCAATACAGCCAAAAGACACCTACAGACTTGAACAATCTGTAGGTGCCACAAAAGAAAAACCCTTGTTGCTACATTTTATACTCAAAACACTCATTTCAACAGGCAGCACTCCTCTTTACAGAGTGCTTTTGAGCTTTCTAAAGGTTGTGCTTTTGAGTTTCTAAATATTCACAATGGGTTTTATTATCTAGAATGAAAATGTTGGTTTTGGTTGGCAAGTATGAATTACAGAATCACAGAATGGGTCATCTGGTCCAAACTCCTTGCTCAAGCAGGGTCATCCTAGAGCACATTGCACAGGATTCTTGGGCTTTGGTCTGTCAATATTGATCTGTGTAGGTGTTTGACAGGCAGCTGTGCAGATATTTATGATATTTTTGCTATGATACAGGTGGGAAAGGCAATGTCATCAAATGAGTCAGCAGCATATGAGATCATGAGAAGCCTGGATGTGGATTATGTTTTGATTATTTTTGGTGGTGTGATTGGCTACTCTGGTGATGATATTAATAAGTTCTTGTGGATGGTAAGAATAGCAGAGGGGGAACATCCTAAAGATATTAGGGTAAGTGGAACTGCTACCTTTTTTTTTTTTTACCTTTTATTTGTTATTATTTTTCTGGTATTGGTCATTACAGTGGAGAGAAATCTCTACTGCTTATTGCAGATTTATTTGAAAAATATACTAGGATTGTTTTCCTAGAACAGTAGGAGTGCAGAGGCCTGTAGCCCGGTTTCTTTAAATATTTATGATTTTGAAAGGTCAGTAACCTCAAAAGCTTTTAAATTTTTTGCATGATGCTGAAAGTACAGGATCTCTTTTGTAGTTCTTGTGTGTCTGTCTCACTGTGCACCATCACATACTTAAAAAAATGAATGTTCAGACTGTTTAAATAGTCAGCATTTCAAATTTCTTCAAACTCTGTAATAGTAGGAGACAAGTGAAAGTGTTAATATTGACTCATGTAGAGTTTAAGCTGTTCAAACACCTCCAAGATTGCAGAAGTCTGTAGTAATATTTTCTTAAGCCTAACAAAAACTTTCAGATATTGAGCTCAGGCTTAAGGGAGTAGTCCATGTGCATAGTTTCATCTTGTACTGGAGATGAAAATGGCAGAAATTTTTTGTTTAAACACTGTGCACACATGAAGTTTATGGTAACCCTGCAGACCTCCTATATTATCTATACAGGGCTTTTTACCTTTCTGAAGAATAATTTTGATAGGTGCCCAACTAACTTTTACAGTTTGAGATCGTTTTTCCTGCACCACTTATTGTGAAGTGACAAAACTTGTAGCAGCACAATAGTAGGATTTAAGGAGACTGATCCTTTGGGGTCTGCGTTACAAGCAGGTAGTTTGTAACTATTTTACCTTTAACGAGCACCATCATTTTCATTTTAAGGTTGTCTTAAATCAGCTTTTAAACTGTAAAAGTCAGTTGAGATTCTTAGGGGTTCTTTTGTGGAGAAGGGAATGAGAAGTTACCTTGAGATTTTAGTTTATATTGACTCTTTGTATCTTCTTTTCTTTTTAAAGGAAAGTGATTACTTTACCCCTCAGGGAGAATTCCGAGTAGACAAGGCAGGTTCTCCAACTTTGCTGAACTGCCTCATGTATAAAATGTCCTATTACAGATTTGGAGAGATGCAGGTAAGTGCTACAACTTCTACTGAATCATAATTGAAATGTGAAAAAGCAAATGTTGTTTCTATGTATTTTCTATCTTTTAGATTAAGCATTGCTTGTAGTGACAGAATCAGCATAAGAGTCAGGTTTAGAAATTTTAAAACACATCCAGGCATGGTCTACTATATATAACCGTTACCAGAAAGCATTTCTGCTGCTCACCTACGTTTGTACTTTGCTGCCAACCTACACCTGTACTTAGTTTTTTTGCTGTCCTTCACATTGCCCCAGATGAATATCTTGACTCCACTGTGCTGTGCACTCACTAAAGCATTAACTGTCACGTTGTGGAGAGCTTTAGATTTGTTTCTTGTAATAGCAACACGCAAGTGGAACAGTTGACTATTTAATCAGAAACTACATGATTTCTATCCAAGTCACATCAGTATATTAAGCGACACCGCTTTTACAGTAAAGGGCAGCAGTTGTCAGTCTGCTTTGGGAGCATCAAACACATGCATGTAGCTAAACCTGTTTGATTTTTTAGCTCCCTTTTCTTCCCTCCCTGCCCCCCCCCCGCAAGGGCTCTTCCTTCTGATGTGTTAGCACAAGAATCCTTTATTCAGCAAATCTTATTTGTAACACGGGGGGCCAAATTTTTAACTAATAATTGTCAACGATTTCCAAATTGTATGGAAAACCATGAAGGTGCAAATTATTGCACTATAGGAGAGAGCACTCTGTCACTGTAGGCTGCCACACCTCTGACTGTCACTTGAGTTGTTTAATCTCTGAATGCAGACATGATATTTTTATTGGGATATTAAGTGCTGTCTCCCGTGACATCTGTAGGAGTCAGAATGAACTTTTCCCTCTCGCAGTTGTAAAAAGGATCTGAGAGTTTTTTCTGTGTAGCAATAACCCGTGCAAGAGAAATGTTGTCCTTTGACTGGGGCCAGCTGAAGGAGTGGCCTTGCAGTACAAAGTTCCACAGTTTGCAGTGACCAGTGTTTTGGGTTTTGTCTTGAACTAATATGCAGCTTTAATTTTTATAGCTGGATTTTCGGACACCCCCAGGATTCGATCGTACACGCAATGCGGAGATAGGCAACAAAGACATTAAATTTAAACATCTGGAGGAAGCCTTTACCTCAGAGCACTGGCTTGTTAGAATATACAAGGTCAAACAATTAGACAACAGAGAGACATTGGATCATAAACCTAGAGTAACCAACATTGTACCGAAACAGAAGTATTTGTCAAAGAAGGTGGGTTCCCAGTGAAGTAACTGAAAGGGGTTTGGAGTTTATTTTTAAAAGTGAATCACATAGCTGGTGAATTATGTATTTCCACTAGCCAGAATGTTATGGATACTGTTCATGTTAGTGTCCAATTTCAGACCTGCCTGCTGGTAATAATTGTTTATTTACTGTCTGCTTAACTTAAAAGCATGTGAAGACACAAGGCTAGATTATTTTTAGGCAGAATGCTAACTGGAAATAGAGTGTGTCACTGGCTGTTACAACTCTTAAGTCTTCATGTAACTGGAAGTATAATCTCTAAAGTACATCAATTCATGTTTCAGTAACTGGCTCACTAAGTAAATAATGTGAAAGTTGCTTTCTGACTTTGTTTGAAAGTAGTGATGCCTAGAAGTTTAAAAATGGCGATTTTGTATGAAATAAATTAAATATGAAACTTTTGTTGATGGAACTTTAGTGTCTGTCTGCTTACTGTTTGAAGTCATCTTCATGCTTTTAAAAGTGTTTGTTGTGCTACTTCAGCCTGTTAAGAAAGCTCTGATACCAGGGGAGTTGGGGAGACTCTTACAGCCCTCTCCTTCACAACATCTGTTTTCTGTATGTTCAAATAGATGTTGCAAAAGGGATTCCAGAAGTCAGTCTAACAAACTAAATTAGTATAGGCAGTGAACTTACACTGTTTCATGGAAATACAAGTAAAGAATATTCTCTACAAGTAGAGGATGTTAAATGTCAAGATGTTTATTTTTCTGATTTGATGGAAGTACATAAAAATAAGGCATTTAGGAGTTGCCACTAAAGCTAGACATGTTGAAACAAAATTATAAGCTTTATTGTGCCTATCATACACTTAACACTAACTTTTGATCTTAAGTGACAAGCAAGGCTATATTTATCCATGATAGATGCACTGACCCCACTTAAGCCATGGATGGGTCAATTCTCTATCTAAAGATGATAAAAGCTGATGCAATTTCTGATCCATCACCAACTCTTGCAGTACAAATAGGCTCTACTTCCCACTAAGAAATCAGAGAACCAAGGGGAAGAGCATGGAGCAAATGTCTAAACTAGGATTTCTTAAATGCATTCTGAGGGCTCCTTAGTAGCCACAGTTCTTCAGCAGTTGCTTCCTTACTGGAAATTCAGTCCATCTCCTATTCGTTTGTATCTATCTCACCTTATTGCAATAATGTCATTGTTATTTTTAAAAATTGTATTTCATTGACATAACAGAGCCTGCTGGTAAGCACAGCAAAGTGCAGCAAGTGTGGGAGCTGCCTCCTGGCAGGCACATTCAATGTACAATTCTACCTGTTGCAAACTTAACCATGTATATACAACTTTGAAGTTAATTTTACCTATGAACAACATTAATGATTCCCCCCATTATTACCTAAAACATATAACCTACAAACCAACAGTAGAGCATTGAAGACTAAAATGGGATTATTCAGGGTTTTTTTCTTTTTAAAAATGCTGCTTTGAGCAAAGAGTTCTACCTAACTTCTAAGAGAATCAATAGTGCAAAAGTTGCACAACAGTATTTCCAGACAAAACTATCACTCTACACCAGTTGTGCTCTTTGGGCATATTAGAGTTGTATGATGTTGGTTAATTATTAATTCTGCCTCAGCACAAGCTTTGAAAACAATTCTACAGATCTGGTATATGGGGCTTGCAAAAGCACATCTTGTGCAAGAGCAACTGTTGGGCAGGAATTAACAATCCCAACATCAAAAATAATAACTGGATAATGCCTAGTTGAGGACTTAGCATTTAAGCTCTTTAAAATCAGTCTAAAGATCAGGCACTGAAATGCACATCATTAAACCGCGGTCAAGACTAAATCATTAACTAATACATGTTATTCTGTTTTTCTTTTTAGACCTCCAAAAGGAAGCGTGGCTACATTAAGAATAAACTAATTTTAAAGAAAGGCAAGAGACCCAACAGGAAGACAGTTTAAATACACTGTTCTGATTGCTAATACGAAGCAGTTGTCCTTGAGATAACCAGTCTTTGCCTTTAGCTCAAATCATGTTTCACAGCAACATGAGGGTACAGAACCATCATTGGTCCAGATTATTGTACAAAATTTTCAGGCAATGTCTGATTAAAAATATTGGCTTATTGAGAACAGCTGTTTTAGATTTGTAATGTGAAGCAAGACAGAGCTGCTATCCAAGTCTAGCAGCATTTTTTTTATTGGTACATATTATCCTTCAAATCTGTTGAGAATTTGGACTGATTACCAAAGAACCCTGTAATTTGGTCCTTGGCACATGCATACTTGTCAATCTTTTTTGGACAACACTGTTCAGCTGAATAGCAGCAGTATGTAAACTGGAATGGTGACATCTGACAATGACTCTTTTTTCAACAAAAAAAGAGGTGGCAGAGCTCTCTCAAATTCAACTTTCAAAACAAGTTACTCCCATGATTATTTTTCAATGGTTTCTTTCGATGTCCTTTTACTCTTGCTGCAGGCTGGTTTTGAGCTGGAGTGTAAGAAGCAAAGCTGCAGTTTTCACAAGAGGAGACAGGACAGATTAATTGGACAAGCTGCTTTTGTTCAACACGGGATTGCAGTATTGCTGCCTTACACTGTCATTTCACAAGGTAGACAAGGCAAATCTTGCACACCATAGATACAAGGGCTAAATTTGTAACCTCCTGAAAGATCCGAAACGACAGTAATGAATGCTATAGTAACACACAACTGAGCACCGTGTAGCAGCTGGTGTTTCAGAACAGAAATTAAACTATTTTAGGTGAATGTTTACATTGGTAAAAGAAGTATAGCCTGTTTATTGGGGAAAAGAAGGTTGACAGGTATACAAAACCCCTTTTCTGTGGCTATCGGAGGTAGAAGATTTGCAAACCTCTTCCCCCCCCTCACTGCCTTTCTTGTGAGGGTAGAAGTTTTTCTGGAAATGTGTTTCTCTGCATTTTTATTTAGAGTGCTTACATCAACTGAAGAAATTCCTGCTATAGTGCTATTTGCTTTGTCTGTCTTTTATACTGTTTTTTTTTTGTAAGTGGTGAAAACTGTCAGATTAAATGCACTAAAATATAAATGGAGACTGAACATGTTCACTTTCCAGCTCTAGGAGAACTTTATACAGACTTGAAAATTTTAATTAAAATGAAAAGGTTTTGCAGTTTGTTTTCCTGCCACAGGTTGTAACTTTTTATAGAAACAAAACTTGCATCAATAACTTGATGTAAAATGCAGAATAGTATGTACCTTTCATGAAGAAAATGTAAATTTAAAGTGTTCTGTGAGAATGTTACTGCTGACTTATTTCTCAAGGTGTAGAATATTTTTTTGATTTATGAACTCATTTTTGACTCTGATGGTTTATACAGACCAATACCACAGCTGCAACATTTTCACAAAGTTAATTAAATCTGGATTTCTGGCCCCCTGTCGTTTGGAGATTTCATTTTATTTTGTTGCTTTAAAGCTCAATGCAAACCAGTTGTTGACTGTAGGGGAAAATAAAGTTAATTCAAGTTTTGTGTTAAGACTGTTGTGTCAGTTTTGTTGTGATTAACTTTGTAACATGTTGCTTATAGTCCTAGTCATAAATTAAGTCATTGGAACTCCATAATGCAAATCTCCTGACCTCATGAAGTTGCTGTAATGAAGCCACAGCAGCTCCTTGATATCCCTCCAGGTTAAGCTTACTAAGACAAATGTAGGGCCTCTGCTGTGGTCAATTTAAGGTGGCTGTTCTATTTTCAGGGAACAGCAGCCATCTTTCCCAACCATACATGTTGCAGCAAATCCTTCCAGCATCTGGAGAAGCTCCAGCTATTACAGCTACTTACCCACCAGCAGAAGAGGTGATTGTGTGATGCATTATCTCTAGTATCTTGCTGCTTCCAAGCAAATCTGGACCCTGCCCTGTCACCACTGGTTAAGACATAAGGGATCTAACATTTGGAAAAACACCTGAAAGGCAGCAGAACAGATCCTGCCAGTCAGGCTCTGGCTTGGCAGTAACTCAGCCTCGTTTTAAAAAAGAAAATACAAGACTGTCTTCCCATCTTTAGGGATCTTTACAGTTCATCAGATTGTTTTCCACCGTAGCCGACAGCGTTCTCTTGAACAGCACAAATAAGTGAATCCAAGTTATGTGAAATAAAAATAAGCCAACTGCAGGAATCTCAGCCAGCCTGGGCCTAAAGTTGCCTACCACTTACCTGAGCTTTCTTAAATCTAACTTGACTTCAAGGCTTCTGCCGCTGTTCAGCAGTTAAAATGAAATTACAGGTTGGAGTCATTGAGGCAGCCACTCAGAAAAAGCAATATTACAAAGAAGAATGGGCAGGCATTGTCTCACCTTCCTTGGTTCCTCAGGAATTTGCACACCATGTAGGTTTACACCTGCATCTGAGAACTATAGCAGTTAACTCCTACCTCTTCTGTGGGAGAACTGGACAGCACTTTTACCAGCAAAGACTACCACCATCTTGCATCATCATCATCCACTCCTCCATAGTTTATTTCCTTAGCTACAGACATTCTTTTGTTGTTCTGCTAGGTCAAATTTTGAAGCATAATTGCCATAAAACAGTATGTTTAATCTCAATTAAAAAAAAACCTCTTAAGCCAGGTTTGAGTTGCTAAGGAACTAAAACTGCAAGTGTCTAGAAGCCAGTGTTGCATAAGTTCTGTATCTCTTAATCATTACTGTTGAGAGCAGTGAGGCAGACAGCAATGTTGGTAATCCCAGAAGAAATATTTTGACTTGTAGAAGTAATTTTGTAACAGAGGGGGAGAAAAGTCATTAATTAAACATCTTGACATATTTACTCTTGAAAACACAGTTGAATGCTTTGACTGAGCCTTCTGTACATATCAGTCCCACTGAAAACAAATCATATTTGGCTGTGACTTAACCCAAGTGTACAAATTGCTCCAAGATGTGGCCTTGAAGCAATGCCACGGGAAGGCAAGGAACACAACTGGGTAGTGTTTCCTGCCCTATTTACAGCCAGTGTTGTTTTCCATTTTGCATAAAAACAAAGTGTTCCAGCACAAGAGTTTCCAACACTGGATGAATGTTTAAAGGAAACCAGAAGGGCGTTATCTAACACTTGAAAAATGGTGACCAGGACCCACGTGAAGCCTCTAAGCACATTTCTCCTCCCTTTGCAAGTGTCCAATGCTGCAATAATGTAGAGTTGTGGTTTAAGAAGTATCTAATCAAGAATCTCTGTTAGTGACAAAGATTAAATGAAACAGGATTTTCAGAAACAAGGAGACACCTTAACATTTTTACTTTTTACTTGTCAAAATAAGGCAGATGTTCGCCAGCCTTTCCTAAAGCTGTGATGCTGCCCAGCCCCGTTTTCCCTGGGTAGAACTGTCCAGTTTAAACAAAAACTTACCTACAGAGCGTCTGGCAGAATGAACAGGGCAGAAAACCCCCAGAACAAACCAGGATTCAGCTGGCAAATCGCTTCTCTCAGAACCCTGCACCCAGCTCACAGGTGCCTGAGTGCTGTACACCACTCCAGGACAGCTCAGTAACTGGTACTGGTTAACTGATGCTTCCATGGAAAGAGAAAGGGCATCCCACTACTAAATGAAACAAATCTTTTATTCATGAGCATTCTCATTTTAAATTCACAAATTATGAAAGGAAGGCAAATCAGAAGAGACTGCCAGAGCATCTTTTAAATGATAAAGGTATAAATTTTCCTTCTGAACATTTCTAATTTAAGAAAGAAAAAGGTTGCATAGGCTTTCTACAGGTGTGCACACAAAAAAAATTGAAGTACATGGAGGTTTTTACGTTACAACTCAGTGTACATTGGCTACTTGAAAAGGAAAGTATTTACTTGCAATTCCAAGACAGCTATTGGAATGACCTACAGAATAAGGCTTATGAATATTTACTTTTCAGTCCTGTAAAATATACCAAACACGTAACTATCAAAAAAATAAAATGACACTTTTGAATCCTATTCTGGAATCTCTCGCTGATGGCATATTTTCAGAAAGGACTGCTTTTATGTTTGTGTCTCACAAGTTACTTTGGGAAAGAAACAGTGGTAATGTCATCAGGGGACTCTTCACAGCATCAGAACAAAACAAAACATTGATCAGAGCACAAGTGGAATGTTCTTGGCATGCAGAAACAACCAACCATGCAGACAGAAAAAAATCTTCAATAAATTACAAGCAGAAAATTATTCTGATTTCTCCTTAAAAGAAAGGCTACAGCATCTCTGTAGCCTCGACAGTCACACCATCAAAGCTGAAAGAGGTTACTCCTTCAGTGGCACAGGCCCACATGCCTGACACACAGAGGTTTGCAATGGCTATTTTAGTGAGGATGTGTCTTGTTCTTTGGTGTGTGAAAGAGTTGTGGGAGGATGTTCCATGTGTTTAATTTTGCTTTTTCGATTGTTCTTTGTGATGATATTACAAACTGTAGGAATACTTCTAGGTACTTATCAGACTAACCTCTAGAAAATGAGTGGATCCATTATAAAGTGAATTCCTGCAGGTGATAAAGTACACATTTTCCTGATGATACTTGGTTCGGTAAATACTACAACAGCATCATTTTGGTTTTGTTACAGAAAACTATTACATCAATTATTCCTAAAAAATAATTTTTTTCCTTTAAAAAAAAGTGTCAGTTACAAAACCAAGTTCATACAGTCCACTTCTTTTAAAAAACAGGATTTAAATAATTTAGAACATGAATCCTTCTAATGTGCAAAAAAAAAAAAAAAAGGACAGACAAGCAGACAAAATAGGATTTAGGAGGAAAAAGGAGCCACACCTTCATTAAACAGGGATCTGAAGCTCAAATGTAGAGATCTATTACATATTATGTCCAAAGGAACAATTAATGGCATGTTTCCTTGTGCACACACCTCTGCTCAGCCTTTTGAGTTGCTCAAGAGATTTTGACATCTACCAAAAAACCAAAATGCAGGATGCACAAGGACAGATGTGAGCAGTGCTTTGACCTAAGTATCTTTGTATAACATCTATAAAGCATAAGTTAGTGTATTAAGAAAGCAGACAAAAGGCACAAAATCAATCAGTACTACAGACAGGTAGGCATCCATGCTACTGTGTGTTAGAAATACAGTGGTTTCTTTAGGGGC